TATATCAATTTTTGTTACTATGATATTAATAACAATGTATAATGTAGGTTGTTGACCAATGGTTTATAATCAAAATTTAATATGGCTGACGGTAAAGGTAAAGAGAAATTTAAAGGAACAAACATTAGGTATTTACTTGTAAGTTAAGTGTAAAATTATATATTTTTAAAAATCACAGTTCGTTTTTTTAATGCTATTTTATTTTTAACTTTTTGATGTATTTGATGAAAATTACTCAGGCAATACCTTTTTTATAGAGAGAGTTTTGTCAATTAAAGTGACTGCTACAGTTGCCGAAATAAGAAAAGGAATAATGAATTTATTAAAATACGCACTCGACAGATCAAATGGTGGTGGTCGGCGCGTAAAAGGCGATTAACCTGATGTATAACATTCATACTTTTTCCTAGTTGTTCTGGAACTATTGATAATAGTTATTATTGATAAATTGATAAATATAATACTGATAAATAAAACTTTTATTTTTCAAACATTTTATTTTATTTGCATTGTATATAAAGTCCGTTGAAGCAATTTAGTTGTATCTGATTAATCTACGTGAAATATAATATCCTCTGCGCAAATTATTGCTTTTTTATTGTGTTAATTTATTGCAATTAAAGTTAAGAAAATTTTTTAGTTAATTGGATTTAACCAAAATAAAAAACAAAAATCAACGTTGAATTTACGTTGTTTCAACGTTGTTTTAACGTCTTATCAACTACGTATCAATCGAATATATCACCTATTCAAAGTTGAAATATGGTTGTTATGTAGTCGATAAGACGTTAGATCAACGTTGAAACGACGTAATCATCGACGTTGTTTCAACGTCGTAGTTTTCGACGTCGGATTTTATTTCCAATTCAACCAAATTTCAACGTTGTTTCAACGTGGCATATGGTCGGTTTGCGACGTTGTTTCAACGTTATTTCAACGTCATTGTGCCGGCTGGGTAAATACTAATCCCGATACCATTTAAATGTTTTTAAATTTTAATTTTTTGAATTTTTATAATACAAATATGGTAATTGATGCTAATATAATTACACAGAAAAATATTTTTATATTATTATCAGTGATGGAGTGAAGCATTTGTATTAGAGTATTTAAAATATTCATTATAATTTATTCTTCTTTTATACTCATTTTAAGCTTTGAAGGGTTGTGCAACTATTATATATTTTATGCTTTAACGAAATAAAATTTTATTGTTAAGTTCAGATTTTATAATAATAAGAAAGAGTAATATGTTGTATATTTTACTTTAAGTAGCAAACGAACATTATATCAGTTAGAGCCTTAAGCTCATGCAATTAAAACTGCTATGGCAACCACTTGAACTAATAGTAACTCACTCTGAGTATAATATTTTAAATCAAATTAACTGCGGAAAAATGAATTTCAATAAACTGTCACTATGCTTATATTTCAACTAACAAGGTACGTATATTATTATTTAGAAAACAGAAGGCTAATTTTTCAAATATCTTCAACATATATTTGTTTTGCATTAAGTGTTAAATTAAAACAAATTATAAAGTAAGTAAAATAAAAAGTATTTTAAAATTTTAGTTTATAGAAAGTATAGAAAGTCTTTAACAAATGTTTAAATAAATGATCATATTGCAAATATTAGAAACCCCTCTCCATCGGTAAATAAACGTCAAACAATATGTACAGAGAATGCAAGCAATTGTTAATCGAGTATATTTATTATTGCTTAGTTTCTTTTTGTTTATTTATAGCATATACTATACCAGTAATCTTGTATATTTACATTTTTAGTATAATTTGTTTTTTTATTTATTTAGCTATGCTTTAGATAACATAATGTAATTAACTTAATACTTTTATGTTTAACTAATGAACTAAAAAAAAAAAATGACATAATTTTCCAAACTAAAGTTCAACGTTAACATTTTGTTGTTAAAAAACCTGTAATAACTAATTTTTATTTTCAGATTTTATTTTAAGCTAGTTTTTATTTTAGCCTAAAAAAACAGCTAATAAAGGTTAGCAAATGCTCTAACTGACTTTTCTTAAAATGTTTTAAGCTTATTTCCTGGCTCAATTAAGACTATTAATTATTACTTTTTAATAAGACTTTTAACTTTAAGATTTTAATTTTAATACAAACATTCAACTGTATGATTTGAATTATGACAATTATATACAAACATTTAACTATATGAGATTAATGAGGTAACAAGAAAATAACTTACTTTGATCAATCGTAGTTTGATGAGAGGATAAGAATATCTCTTCAAAGTTTAGGAAATATAAAAATATTAACTTTTCTAAAAAAATTTTGCCTTTTTTTTATTTTAAAAAATTTATGTTTTCTTATTATTATTAATTTTTATTGTGTTCAATTTTTAATATTATCCTTTTATTGTTAAAACTACAATAATTTATGTTTGTTTCAGAATAATAAAAACTAATAAACAAGAAAAAAATCAATACTTGAGAAAACGGTGCTAAAGTAATCGAGTCTGAAACAATGTACTTGTAAATAAAGAAATTGACAACTCGTTCAAATCCAATCATGTCAAACCAAATATTAATGGAGTCGAGAGTTGAATTGATTTCAAAAACATTTTAAATTGAAAACTATAGTGACTTCTATTTTGTGTCTGATCATAAAAACACTTCTGAAACTGAGAGTTTTGATCTCTGAGGGTCCTTTGAGTGATGATAATAAAGATCTTAATAATGGAGTACATGCTGCATATATTATCAAATAGCTTTTTAAACAATTTCTAATATCATCTTAAATTTTTAATACAATTTCTCTAGTTTTCAATGTAGATGCCGTTCCCTCATTTTATATATGTTTGACAAAGTGACACCTTTTATTGTAGCATTATTTGTTAGTAATAACAAGCCAAATAATTGCAATGATTTTTATTTAATTTCTTGCATGAGTTGTTATTGGCAAATGGTTTTCATTATTATTCATATAACTTCAATTACTTCTTGAGAAAATGTGTTGCAAATGAGCCGATAAAAGTCAAAAAGTGTAAGCATAACCGTTTTCAAAATGATTGAGCACCTTAAAGTATTTTATGTACTTGAAACCAGATTAAATTTAAAGTGGAGTAAAGTAAATTGGTAATTTATATTTATTGTTTAAATTTTTAAAGTTTGTTTGTTTAATAGAATACTATTTAAACTCATCGTTTTCTTGATGAGCCTATTTAAATTGCTTTCACATTTTACCAGAATATGGTGTAAAAGGTAAATTCCTACTTATAAATTGAGAGTTTACTTAGTATCCTGGTAGCCATTTACAATCTGTAGAGTTTTTCACAGTCTTGTATTTTTTGTTAAATAATTTTGTCTTATATTTAGTTGAGCACTCATTATTTTGCTGTTTTTATAGAGCAAGTGTGAAAAACAACCAAATAAATCTAATCCTGTCTTATTCCAACATGAACCTTTGGTTAGACTTTTTCTTTTTGTTTTAGTTTTGTAACTTTAAAAAAGCAGGTGGAAAAAATGTTAAAGAAAATACAAAAAATGTTATGGTCAGGTATTTTTATTTAACTCTGCATAATCATACTGTTCAAATTGTGAGTAAAGTTTATAGAAAAATCTAGCCCAAGGAAAAAAATTTAAAAAAATTAAAAACCAAACAAATAGTCAGTTGTAAATAAAATATATTTTTAAATGTCATCCGATTTATAGTCTCCCATATTGTATTTTAGAAGTCATCCAGCTAATGCACGAGTTTTCGACAAAAGCACAAATAAAAAGTCAAATAAGTAGCATATTAAAGTTCTCTCCATTTGTTAATGGTAGCATAAAAACTTTTTAGGAAGCAAGTGATTGTTAAAGTATTAATTATTTTTGAGTTTTTTGTAAGTTTATAATAGAAAAGACTTTATAATACATCTTTAAAAAAACTTTCAAAAACATCTATTGTAATTCTAGTTTGAATATCCCCGAAACTATTTTTCTAACCGTTTGTAAGGGGTTAAAAACCCTTATATTAAACTCGTAAATTGATTGTAATTTTGTTTACCATTTATTGTTAATATAACCATGCGGTTAAGTTCATATAATAACCATTAAACAAAACTACGTTTAAACAAAGTCATATGAATAGCTGTATAGCTATACTTACATTTAAAATTAAACAATCAATCAATATTTCTAGTTGACATAAAACGTGAATGTTTTGCCAACTTATATTTACATTAGTATAGCGTTAAGTAAACTTGAGAATTTAACGTTAATATAGTGTTAATATCTAATACAAATATAAGGTAAAAACTTTACGCTATGAAACCTATAATACCACATATATAATATATATATATATATATATATATATATATATATATATATATATATATATATATATATATATATATATATATATATACACATATATAAATGGAATAACATAAAATATGGATATGAATATTTACGAGCAACCTTTACAATGGCTTAAGAAACACTCATCAACAAGAATATCATAGAAGCCTAAGAACTAGAAAAACATCATGGAAATATAAACACACCTGTTTTAAGATGAAAAAAACAAACTTAGAATCGTCACGAGCAAACAAAGTTCTTTGCACTTTAAATCGCAGGTTTATCAACAATAGGACAAAACCATTGAAAATTGATTACATATCATAAGTAAAAAAACTTGCAACAATGACAACAGCATTAAGCTCCTAATAAACTTTCATCTACCCCCAAACACGTGTATGCAAACCAAAGGTAACTCTCAATACATAAATCACTAGAATCTTAGGTTAAATTAATGTAATGACTTATGCGCAGCTGTGATAAATCGTCTTCAGTTTTTAGTTAATCACATAGTCAAATCATGGAATTAGTAAGTTAATTAAGTTGCGCCATCAAAAACGGGGTCAATACGGACTTGAATAAACTTCTAATAATATGTAATATTTAACACCAGTTTTCAAGATTACTTAACGAATATTATTACCATTTATAAATGCATAGCAGTTAAATAATGTTACCAATCAATCTTGTTTTTCTTGTTGGTAATGTTATCATTGGTAATTGATTTCCTCGACCTATCATATAAAAAAAAATATATTTTTAACAAAAATATATAAATAAAAGCAACTACTAATTGCATAAAATTTGCTTATAATTTATTTGTAAACTGTTTGGCTTGAAAAGATTTTTATTGTGTAATAAATATTTTTTTAACTAAGCAATTTTTAATAAAATCATTAGAATTTTCTTCAACATACAACAGACAACACGAATTTATTTCTTTACTTATTGTTTTGCAAAAAAAGATTGTTTGAATAATATAAAAGTAAAATCAAATAACTACAATAACCAAGCACTTATAATAAATATAAAAAAGCAATTACCTAGAACTAAAAGAGTTATAGTTTAATTGAATTAACAATTTAATCTTATAAACTTTTGAGTTGAATTATTTCGTAATGTTATTTGATCAACTTTAATGTTTTTCAAATTATCATACGAAAAAATAAAAATATATATTACATAGAGATGGATCTTCGTCTGAACTATCTATGCAATCAAATCTTCCATTGCATATCGAAAACCTTGAAATGCATTGACCATTATTGCATCGAAATTCAACACCGATACCAATACAACCTGAAAAAATAAGTTTTCTTTTTATTCATTTATTCCTTTAAGTTGATTTTTGTGTTTATATATATATATATATATATATATATATATATATATATATATATATATATATATATATATATATATATATATATATATATATATAAGTTTTATCCTTTTGTTTATTTATTCCTTTAAGATGATTTTTGTGTTTATATATATATATATATATATATATATATATATATATATATATATATATATATATATATATATATATATATATATATATATATATACATATAGAGAGTTTTTTTTTTTTCGGATTTGAATTTCCTGAGAGTAGTTCTATTTTTATAAACTTACTTTGGCACGAGACTAACTTCTAATATGAAAAAGACATTAAAATTTAAAATGTTATTTTATTGAAAAATTGTATATATATGCGAAAGTTGTATATGCATGCATTAGATTTAAGTAATTTTGAAATTTTTCTTTTTGAGTCCATGGTTGATATGGTTTAGAAAAAAAATTTAATAATATGAGTACTGTCAAAAATTTAGAATTTAAATAGGATTTTAAAAATATCATCAAAGTCGGAAATTCTTTTTTATTTTTCTTCTCATAATCAATATACATCGAATTGCGTAACTTGAATATTTCATATCGAACTTTTTATTTTTTTATAAAACTTGCTCTTTCCTAGTATACATTCAGATTATAACATTTTATTAACTTCATGTTCATGTACTGTAGTTTGATGAGCTTTCACCTAAAAAAATTTTATTTGCATATCTTTTCAAAAATGTTTACTCCCTCATTGAAAAATCGGTTTGGACGTTAGTACTACTTGTATTCAAACGCAATTAAAATATCAAAGTAATGTAATACAATAAGTTTTTGTTGACCGTTGATCTTAATCTTTTCTTGTTGCAGAGTAGCAATCGAAGATGCAAATAGTGTTTGTTTTTTCCTGAAGATCAATTTTCCTCTAATATTTTGGTTGCGCGCTCTGCGCGTTGATTACTTCTGGGTATCTGTAGTATGGATATGTCTCGCTTTCATTGAATTTTTAAAGAGCTTAATGCCATTTTTGTATGGATTCAGTAATTTAACCAAATTATTTTAGTCGTTTTTTTTGTACAGTTGATCTGTAAACCAATGGTCTGCCCAGTCATACCATATAAATTGACAAACTCTCTGCAGAACTGTCCTTGTTGAAGGATTTCAAATTAAAGCTAGGATTGCTAGTATAGTTCTGGTGTTCCACATTGCAATGCATTGCTGATGTTGGACATTTTCTAAAATCTTATCATTGGAAACTGCCCGTATTCCTCAAAAAGTCGATTGAGATGTAAGAAAACATCCATATCATCTCTGCTGTCTGAATTTCGATAATTACTTCTTTTCCGTTATTAAACTGTATTTTAAGTTGTTCGTACTTCTTTAAAGACTGAGATACAAATGGATATTCAGTGTTTTGCGTTTGTGTTTTGTTCCCAAGTTCTTAATCTATTACCAATTGGAAGGGTATATCTAATACAACATGTTAACAACTCATAAACTAAGGTTTGTTGAGGCGTTTCTCAATGAACATTCGATGCAATATTAGAACAACACCATTCTTTTATCCTGTGTAAACGCCAGTTATATATGCAACCATTATCTGTTTTGAATTCAATAGGTGAAATTGATCGAGGACTTTAGAAATTTCTTGAATAGTAGTTAAAGCTCTGTCGTCAACCAAACCAAGAACATCCAATTTGATTTCTCTTCTTTCATTTTTAAGGATGACCGCTTGGTAATTTATTCTGTTTATGTGCTTGCCACAATAGAATAAAGACCAAATTTCCATACGCAACTTTTCAATCATTTCCTCCTTCAGCTTGATTCCAGTTTCGATTGTTGACTCTAAATTTGCTGATTGACATGAAGTTGGGATGTCAATGTCTTTACAAGCCAATTGCTTGCATATGTTACCAGCTTTGATTGTTGATACTTTTGTGGAAGTCACGAAGTTGAATGCAATTTTGCTTCTTTTATGTTTTCTGCTTGATGTATGTTTTGCCTCATCTTCTTCATTGTTTTCATATTTACAGTCGTCAGCCTTAGAATCACTATAACCAAAACAGTAAGGCGATGAGTTGAATGACCCATTAGAAAGTTTCTGTCTTTTAGTGAGATGGATTGTTTTCTTTACTGGCCGCTCGCCCTGTAGAGTATCCAACTGTTCCTTTGCTTTCCTCTTGGATATGGTACAATTGCTTGTCCTCAGAAATTAACCATGTTCCAACCACCTTAGTAAAAAATCAACAAGAGACTCATCTCTAGAGTTTCTCATGTTTTGTGTAAGTAAAAGTTTTTCTCAATTGTGTATGACAAACTTTAAATATGTATACTAGAGTTATGACGTTTTGACTATTTAAAAAAAAAAATTTTTGTATCATAAATTAATGAACTTTCATAAGAAAACGTCAAGAAAAGGTCAACACGCAACTTAAATTACGTTTTGTAATTTATCAAAATTTTCATCAAGGGGTTTGTAGCTTCCCCGCTGGACACGTTCATCATATCATTTCAATATTTTATTAGGCTTTGCTTATATAACTTAATCAGTTTTATGAGAAAAATTCAGTTTGTTCTTCCACAGTTTGATAACTTCTTTGCAAGTTTACGCTATTCGCTCCTTTCTTACTTTAAAATTTGGTCCAAGGAAACGGTAGCGTCCGATAATTTGATTTTGGAAAGCCATTTTGTATTTTTTTTCCAGTAAATATTCTTCCGAAGGGACTATTCTTTATCTTTTATGAGAGTCTTCAAACTTTATCCGATTATAGGCCTAGACATCCTGGTTCTTCTGAATGCTAATATCGCTAGCCTTGTACGAAAGCATGTATTGCTTCTGTAATAACTATTAAATTAGACAGCTATATAATCTAAAATCTTTTAAAATATTTAAGAATGTTAAAAATTGTTCAAGAATGTTCCAAAATAATCTAGAATATTTAAAAATGTTCTAGAATGAACTTAATTGTTTTAGAATGTTTTAAATTGTTCTAGAATGTGCTAAAGTCTTATAAAATATTTTGTTTTTTAGTTGTAAAGTCAGGCGCGGATGCAGCATTTTTTGATGTTTGAGATACCTAACTTCCAGACATGGAACAAACTCCAAAAATTTATATGTTTATATCTATATCAAATAAGGACGTTTTGCAAAAAATTGCAATGATTGGAGCCTGGGAACAAAAAAGCCCTAAAATTTTAGCTACACCTGCCCCAAACGTGAGAGCAACAAATTGATAAAATAATTTTTATACTATTCTTAACTAAATCTATATTCATCGACAAATTTTAAAATTAACACAAAAATCTTTTAGCGTTCAAAAACTATGACCATAAAAGGTTTGAACCCCCCTCAATTTGAGGGGGTTGCAAACTTTATAAGGCCATAATTGTTGAACGCTAAGAGATTATTGGGTGAGTTTTAAAATTTGTCGATGAATATATACTTGGTTGAGAATAAAAGAAAAAATATTTTATCAACTTGTTGCTCTCACGTTTGGGGCAGGTGTAGCTAAAATTTTAGGGCTTTTTTGTTCCCAGGCTCCAATCATTGCAATTTTTTGCAAAGCGTCTTTATTTGATATAACTATAAACATATAAATTTTTGGAGTTTGCTCCGTGTCTGGAAGTTAGGTATCTCAAATATCAAAAGATGCTGCATCCGCGCCTGAAAGTTCTAAACATTTCTAATCTATAAAACTTGTAAACGATTTGCAGGAATGCCACACGTATTAGTAGCAGCAGTAACAAGATTAAATATATGACAAAACGTAATTTAAGTTGCGTGTTGACCTTTTCTTGACGTTTTCTTATGAAAGTTCATTAATTTGTGATACAAAATTTTTTTTTTTTAAATAGTCAAAACGTCATAACTCTAGTATACATATTTAAAGTTTGTCATACACAATTGAGAAAAACTTTTACTTACACAAAACATGAGACACTCTAGAGATGAGTCTCTTGTTGATTTTCTTTTGTCTGCGCAAAAGTTAGATGACAGTAAAAACATTCTCTAGCATTTTAATAAGGTTGGTTTTATCGTTCATCAAGCAGCTTTTTTGAATTATTTGTATTATTTCCAGTAGTTCTATTTATTTGAAACTGTTTTTTAAGTTCTTTACTAGAATATTTAATTGTAACACACTTTTTAGGTTTATATGCTGTATTCATAGCTGTCGCCACTCTGTCTCAAATATTTGTAGATATTAAGCAATTACTCTCATTAGAGGATTCACTTTCAATTTCAATATCGACATTTTTATTAAATATATATAAAAATAAGCCATTTGCTTAACGAATAATTGCAGCTTTTGAAGATGAAGGTAGCCCTCAAGTAACAGTTGAGTATGTATTGCGTGTCAAAAGGTATTTATTCAAAGTCACAAGATCTTGACTTCTTTGCTCTTTCATTTTGTGAAAGTTTTAAAATTACCTTTTTTTGGGTATGAGTCAATCAAGTAGATGTTCAAAATGTCAAAATAAGTTGGTGGGGATAAGTGTTGTTGCATCAACCACTGATGCTGCAGTACTTTATTAAATTTGGTAGATTATCGGGTTTTAAACACGACTTTTGAAACAACGGCATACACTTGGCTGTAATGGACGTTATTTACCCGTACCTGCAAACCAGGTACGGGTAGCCGAGTAATGCAAAGAGATAGAGCTAGCAAGATTTTTTTTAAACTGGCATCATCACTGTTGCGCACAAAATCAAACAAAAAATTTAAAGTTGCATCAACTGTTAGCGAATTTGCGTTTATATTATGCTTCTGCAGCTATTTTGATTGATTAAGGAGAGTTGCAAATATTTTAATAATCTGAAACATAAATAGTGTTAAATAGCTTTTGGGAGATCAACTTATTTAATGCTTGTTTTACTGCTTCTATTACCTTTTTATATTTTTAAACCATTGCCACAACCCCGTTTTATCTGGTATGGTAATCTAGTGATATATTGAAATCAATCATATGCTCTTCTTTTACGTAGCCTTAAAAAATATATTTCTTTCAGACGAATGTTTAAAAAATTTAACTTATTTTGTAACTATTTATAATGCCACATTTATATCATCTCTTTCACATATTTGTGGTTCAAAAAAAAAATCGTTTAGATTTTCATATTCGATATAGTTATCACTGTAAAATCTACATCCATTTTCTAAAGAATCAATGTGACAAACATTAAAGTTTTTATTTCTTTTATAAATCACATCCATTCACTGTCCAATCACATCCATTCAAATCACAGCCAAGTGTTTGCCATGGTTATAACATTGGTTAATAAAACCAGATATTTTATCAACTTTTATCGTTACTGCTGCTTAAGTGGTTGATGACACAAAATTTAAAAAGTTACTTTAACTGGGTCAACTGTTTTTAATCAAACTTGATTTAAAGTAAACATAAAGTCAATAATTTAAATACAAAACGCTAAATGCTCCCCAGTGGTTTGTAAAACCACTGGGGAGCATTAAGGGTTTTGTATTTGAATTATTCAGATTTACAGCTTCGGTTTTTCTTAACCAGTTCTAAATTAATGAACAACTCATTGAAATGAATGTTGAGTTTCGAAGATCTTTTTTTGCCTAGACTTGTCTATTCATCAAACATTAGATTCAGTTTTCCGCATTTTATTTATGTGAGTTTATTTTAACAATAAATTCATTTTTTGCCATAGCCCAATATTCATTAATTTGTTTCATCATGTATATCACATTGTTTTTACTATTTTTAAGATGATATTGTTTTTCGCTTAATGCTTGACGATTGAACTCACTTTTTTATACTCCGTTAAATGAAAACTCATCATTGACAGTAAGTCTTGCCATTATGCTATGGACTGTTCCTTAAAAACATTTGATGCAAGAGACTTATTCGCTTATGCAGGTACTGTCTCACAGTTACTTGAACCAGCTATTTGACTTTTTATTATTTTTCTTTTCTTGATATTTATGCTATGAACATGTTGCAAGGGTTTTATTAAACCACTGGTTGACGAGACCTGATAACGTTTCAATTTATTTTAACATTTCAAACAAATAGTTTGTTTGCGTGCTTTTTCTTTCAAAATATAATTCGACCATGTTTCAGTTACTTGTAAAACAATGTTTAGGCGTTTCTGAATAAAAAAAACTATGAATATTAGAAAGAAAAAAGTAGTTTTGAATGTATTAAAAGTAGTAAAGATAGTTCGAAATATTGTCCATACGTAAAAAACTAAATGTTGTTCGACTTCCTAAATAAAAAATTAAATTACAAGTTTTAAAGACTAACTTGCATTTTGCATTTATAAAATGAGTGTTGGTTATAAGTTACGTTTTATAAACCACTGGGGAGCATTAAGCGTTTTATATTCGAATTATTGACTTTTATGTTTACTTTAAATAAAGTTTAATTAAAAAAAGTCAATATTTATTTATTTTGTTTTTGTTATTATAGATGAATACTAAAATCAGATTATACACATTACTTGGCCTTTTTGGACATATGTATATTTTTGTTTTGAATAAATAAATTTTTTATTTTATTAAAGTATATATATACAAATAAATCTTTAGTTTTAGTTTTTTTTCTGAAAATTATGATAAATTTCCTGAGTTAGGGGAAATATAAAACTTAAAAAACTTTAAGGAATTTCCAGGTAGAACACCCTATATTTCTAATTATATATGTACATTTATATATATATATATATATATATATATATATATATATATATATATATATATATATATATATATATATATATATATATATATATATATATATACATATATATATATATATATATATATATATATATATATATATATATATATATATATATATATATATATATATATATAAATATATATATATATATATATATATATATATATATATATATATATATATATATATATATATATATACATATATATAAAGTATATAGATGTAATTAACAATAATTATCACATGACTGGTATGACGAGTGGTATACCTATGGGATCTGTTTTAGATCTTTTACTTAATCGGTCACAAATTTCTTAAAGCTTTGTGGAAATGTTAATGCAATTATTGCAGTTGTTGATAACAAAATCAATGTGAAAATATTCAAAAGAGATTTAGACAAGCTAGTTAAGGTGCGTGTTTCTTGGTTAATGGAACTAAAGCTCACAAGTACATGGTAATGCATTTTGAAAATAAAAATTTCTGAGAATCATATAAAATGCCTCAAAAAACTCTTTCATCAACAAGAATAACATTAGAAACGACAGAGCTAGAAAAACATCAAAGAATTCTAAAATCGCATGATTTATGATGAAACAGGCAGACTTAGCAATGTTAAAAGCAAACAAAGTTCTTTGCACATTTAAGCGCAGGTTTATCAACAATAAGACAAAATTTTTAAAAATTATTTCCATGACGAAAGTAAAAAAACATGCAACAATGACAATAGCATACAGCTGCTATCAAACTTTTATCTACCCCTAGGACGAATATACACACCCACGGTAACTCTCAAACCATAAAGTACCATAGCTTTACGTTAAAACAATGAAGTGACTTATCCGCAGCTGAGATCATTCGCTATCAGTATTTAATCAATCAATTTGGCAAATGGAGTTAGTTACCTAAACAAGTTGCGTCAGCAAATCTATTAATAGTTTCAAATTAGAATTGAAAAAACTTCTAATAATAATGTGAAATATGCTGTTGAAGTTATTTATTATTTTGACACCAGTTTAAAAGATTATTCATTGAATATTATCATTTATAAATGTATAGCAGTTAAATAAAAAGTTACCTAAAAATGTTGATTTTCTTGTTGCTGGTGTAGTCATTGGTAATTGATTTTTTGGACCTATCATAAAAGAAACAGAAAATTTTAAAAAATACATATAAATAAAAACAACTACTACTAATATTTTAGTTTAAACTTTGCATATAATTTATTTACGCATAGTTTGACAATAGAAGTTAAATGTTGTGTAACAAACATTTTTTAAACAAAGCCCATTTTTATGAATAAATGAAACATTTTCTCGTTTTTAACATTTTTCTAACAACCTCTTTTTTAAGTATTAGTTATTTAAGTAAATAACATATGTTGTACAGAAAAAAAACCTTTTCACAAATGAAAACTTTGTTTTAACAGTCTAGATCCAGATAAACAACTAAAAGTTTTAACATTTTGTGTTTATTTACAAATTAAGCATACAAAAACATATTAAAGTAGTTTTCTTTGCCATTTTATTAAGCTATTTATTCTATTATGATCAAACTCAGTCTTTTTTCCCTGATAATAAATTATCTTCAGTATTCATTTTAAAATAAATATACTTAAAAAAAAAACATCACTTAAAATTAACACTTAAATTATTGAATACTTAATACTTCAAATATTATTAAATGGGCATAAAGTTTTCCTGTGCTATCTGTTTAAAATCAGTTTCAAGTAACAATAAAGTTATGCAAAATGATTCTTGCAACAAATGGATCCATATTAAATGTAACGGGATGACTAATAAATGCTACAATTATCTTTTGTCAGAAACAGGCAATTGGTACTGTTACATATGTATGCAAAACTCTCTACCATACTTAAATCTTTCTGATAATGAACTCATGCTTACTATAAATGGTGCAAATAATTTCTTACACATCTCACATCATGAAATACCTCCTAATCATAAAAATCTTTTTAAAAATCTCAACAAAGTTTAAATAAATTGTAAATACTATGATACAACTGATTACAATCATGCTATTAATAAAGATTCTAAAACTTTTGTTCATGTTAATATTTCATCTTTAACATTCTTCATTGATGACCTTAGATGTCTGCTAGCCCTGATGAAAATCAAACCAAATATTATTGCAATATCTGAGACTCGTTTAAAGCAAAATCAAATTCTTAGAACTGATATTTCATTAAGTGGCTACACTTTTGAACATACCCAACGTTATTCCAACAAAGAAGGGACACTTCTATATATAAAATCAGACTTAAAATACAAGTTGAGATATGACTTTCAAATTTTAAAACTAAAAGAGCTTGAATCAACTTTCATTGAAATTTTAAATCTAAATGAAAAAGTACCACTATGGGATATATTTACCATCACCCTTGTATGTGCTCAAATGAATTTAATAATCAATTTATACAAACTCTGCATGACAAATTAATAAAACTTCAATTTATACCAAAAATTAAATTACAGGAAGTCACACGTCTTAACTACTGCAATTTTTCACACATACACAAATGTATGTGGATAAGGAGCCTTATATATATTTAAACAATTTAAAATGTATTCTACAAAAAGGGTGGTCAATGTTCTTAAAAGAACTAAAAATTTTGCTAAAAAAATAAGCCTTGATAACAGAATCGAATCAACTGCTCCTGCCCAAGCCTTTGTAACACTAAAAGACCATAAACCAAATTTTCAAATCAAACTTCCTTGTAGGTTATTGGTTTCCTCAAAAAGTGAGATTGGACATATAAGCAAAATTAAATTGGACAAAATTAATAATATTCTCAGAAATAAATTAAATTTGCAACAGTGGAAAAATACCATTGATGTTATAAATTGGTTCTCCATAATCGATAATAAAAATGATTGTACATTTATTTAATTTGATATTAATGATTTTTACCCCTCAATAACTGCAGATATTTACGTAAAACAATTGAATTTGCAAAAAGCCACACAGTTATTCCTGAAGAAACAATTCGCATAATAAAACATTGTAGAAAAACCTTACTTTATTTTAATAAGGAAACTTGGAAAAAGAAAAATATACATAACTGCTTTGATGAAACAATGGGCAGTTATGATGGAGCAGAAATTTGTGAATTTGTCGGATTAAATATTTTAGATTTATTAAGTAAAATAATCAATATAAATGATTTAGGTCTTTATCGCGACGATGGTTTGATAGTAATGCGTAAAATATCTGGTCAACAACTAGATAAAATTAGAAAAGATTATAAAAATTTTTAAAAATATTGGCTTTCAAATTGAAATAAACATAAATTTAAAAATTTTGAACTTTCTTGATGTCACATTTAACCTCTCGGAAAATACATATAAGCCTTTCAATAAACCAAACGATGAATAATTGTATATTAATATTAACTCAAATCATCCACCCTAAATTTTAAAACAAATCCCGATTTCAATTAATAACAGGCTTAACCAAAACTCCTCTAATAAAAATGTATTCAATTCCTCCAAAAAGATATTTGAAGATGCCCTTAAAAAAAGGGGTTTTGAAAACTTTGAATTAAAATTTGACCCTGAAAAAAAGAATACAAAAAGGCGAAATAGAACTAGAAATGTAATTTGGTTTAACCCCCCATATAGCAAAAATGTTTCCACAAACATAGGAAATGTGTTTTTAAAATTGATCGATAAGCATTTCCCGCCCTCTAATAAATTAGATAAAATTTTTAATCGAAATACTATTAAAGTTAGCTACAGTTGCACAAAAAATATGGAAAGAATTATAAAAGGTCACAACAATGCTTTGTTAAACAAAAATGAAATCCAAAACGAAAAAACTGCAGAAAATTGTAATTGTAAACAAAAAAACAATTGTTCAATGAGTGGAAGTTGCTTATCAAAAAACGTGGTATATAAATGTGTTGTCTCCTCTAAGAATGTACCTGATAAACAATATATTGGCATAACAGAAGGTGAATGGAAAAAACGTTTTGCCAATCATAAGCAATCTTTTAAAAATAAAAAGTATTCAAAAGACACCATGCTGTCAAAATATATATGGAAATTAAAAGATAAAAATATTGATGATTTTATACTGAATTGGTCCATCCTTAAAACAGTGCCTGCATATAACAATATTTCCAAAAAATAAATACTATGTCTACAAGAAAAATTTGAAATAATTACACATACAAACCAAGAATGTTTATTAAACAAAAAATTGGAATTGATTTCTAAATGCAGGCACGAAAACAAGTTTCTCCTAAAAAACTATAAAAATAAGTGAACTCAAATAATAGTTACATTTACTCCCTATTGAAAAAAAAAAGAAAAAAGAAAAAAGAATAAAGAAAAAAAAAAAATTGAAAAAAAAATATTATTTTTTAAAAAAGCTTAAGTTATCATTTCTAAAGAATTCCTTTTACAATAGTGTCAGCAAATTTCACAAATGTGTGAAAAATTGCAGTAGTTAAGACATGTGACTTCCTGTAATTTAATTTTTGGTAGTCTTTATTGATGAAACACAGTGTTAAATGAGGAAAATATATATATACATATATATATATATATATACATATAAAAATATATATATATATATATATATATATATATATATATATGTATATATATATATATATATATATATATATATATATATATATATATATATATATATATATATATATATATATATATATATATATATATGTATATATATATATATATATATATATATTACAATGAAATGATCACAACCTAACACGAAATAAGTTAATGCTGCAATCATTTCATAAATAACCCTTTCAATAAAGGTATAAAGCTATTTCTATCTAGATTATTTCTACTCCAGTTAGAAATTGCTCTACATTATTTATTCAAGTAGAACTTTTAGTAGAAATAACTTTGCATATATATTATTGAGCCGTGATTTTTTTTTAACCTAACCAGAAGACTTTACTTAACACTCATTTATTAGAAAAATAATAATAAAGCGGCTGTATGTAAAGTAAAAAAATACAAAAATATCTTTTTCAGCTTATAAAGAAAGGCGATTATAAATATTGACAAATATAAATGTTGAGACTTAAAGAACTAAAGAGATGTAAGATGCGCATGCGTAAGATGCGTAAGATGCGCATGAGTAAAGTCATTCAGAGTCTTCAAGTTCTAAACTTCTAGAATCAGTTTGTTTAAAGTTTAGCTCATATATGTGAGTTTTTTCATAGTTTTTCAAAATTAGTGTTATATTTAATATTTTTAACTAAATATTTTAGTATAAAGTTTAAATATAAGATTGAAGTGTGCAATTTTTTTTTTTTTTTATCTCAATTTTAGAATGATAAGTGAAACATATCATAATTGTTTGCACATTAAAGAAGCATGTCCTGATATAAGTGCAAAAATTTACCGAATGTAGGTTTATCTGTTTTTATTCAACATTTTATAGAAAATAAAACCAAAAAAATGTTTTTCGAAATATTTAAAAATGTGTATGTATTTTTAACAAGTTGCAAAGTAGTACATTAAACATAATAATACATTATAAATAATACATAAAACATTTCTTCAACAATTTAAAAAAAAAATTCAGCGATGCATTGCGGCACTGTATTGTTATGATAAACTGCCATCAAGTTTTAATTCAATTAGTTGAACAAGTATGTTATTAAATGTTGTCTTTTCCTTTTTTAAAAGATTTTTTTTGTATTTAATTTAATTTTCAGTTTTCCACAACAATTTTTTATTAATATTTTATTTTACTTAATTCAAACTTTTTTTTTTTCTAATAGATTTTCAATCTGCAATATATATGGAACTACGATGCCTAAAGTCTTAAAAGTCTTATTCTGCAGTAGATATCCTGGGGAAAAAGACTGAGTTTGAAGATTCATAATTTTATTATTATAAAGTAAATGATGTAACAAGGTTTGATGAAAGTGAAATAATTTTAAATAATAAAGCAAAGTTTTATTTGTTGTTATATTCCTGTTTATATTTATTTAGAGTTTTTTTATTTTATTTTGATCACATTTTAATTTATTTATTAAAGTTTTCCTAAATAAATTAAAATGTGATTAAACTAAATATATTATATGACTTTTAAGGTCTTTTTCAGCTCTGCTAATAATGTTTTGGATGAAGTAATGTCAAAATCTGTTCTAACATTCTTAAAGAAAGCTGCAACTTATGGAAATAGATCATTTTGAAAAAACTTTATTGAGTAGGGTAATTAAAGGTACTATTTAAATCTTTATATTGATTCTTTAATATATTGTGTAATATTTTCCATTACTTATTTCTTATTTTTATAATTTACATTTTAACGCTCTTTTTTTACATGCTAGTGATATGCATGAAATTTTCTATGGTATTTTTCTTTTTTAGAAACATTAGTGTCACATGGAGAAAATATCGGTTTGGTTGATAAGTTGAAAGCCGATTGTTTGAAGAGAATAATAGAATAAAAAGCTTAATAAAATGGCAAATAAAACTACTTTATTATGTTTTTGTATACTTAAATTGTAAATAAACACAAAGTTTTAAAGCTTTTGTTATTTATCCGGATCTAGACTGTTAAACCTAAGTTTTCATTTGTGAAAAGGGTTTTTTTTTGTACAACATAAGTTATTTATTTAAATAACTAATAATACTTAAAAAAAAAGTTGTTGGAAAAATGTTTAAAACGACAAAATTTTTCATTTAGATGTAATAAAAACCAATAAATAAATAAGTTTTTATGGGATCATTAACAAACGTTCACAAAGCGTTCTTGTGCCCACTGAGCATATTTTATAAATTTTTTGTCTCAAAACTGTTTGATCTAAAAATTTATGTTGAAAAATTCATAAACTTTACTATATTCAATTGTTTTGGTCATATTATAAAACCGTCATCAATATATCTATAAAAAAATTGTTTTATATCGTGATAATCTTGATCGGAAAAGTACTTAGGTAAGATTTTAGGAATAAGTTTTGTTCCTTCTAAAAAATAATCACACCTTTGACAGTTATACACATAATTTTATCTCCTATTATTATAAACCAAAAAATCATAAAAAGATATTTGGGAATTTTTTAAGAAAGATATCAAGAGATTTAGAGAGAGAAAGTTGCATTTTGACTCATATAAGAATCATATAACTTGCAATAGTAAAAATGTAATATACTATTTGAAATGTCTATCTTGCAATATAAAAACTGCAAACACTGGAAAAACTATTAATTTAAGATATCGTAAAAATAGACATATTTCTCGTTGTAGAACAGGACAATCAACAAATACATTTGATAAGCATGTTAATATTTGCAAACGCGCACATGATACAATTATAGAACCTATTTTTAAAATTTATTTAATTGTCGTTGAAAAACATCTCCACAAACAAAATTATATCACTTTGAATTAAAATTTCCTGTGTAAAATTAAATCAAAAAATTGACTTTAAAAGTTAAAAAGATTAAAAACAATAGGTAATTATCATTTCCTGTTTAATAAAAAAAAAAAATATTTTGATAACATAAAAAGCACGACTAATGATATTTTAGAAGGCCCCTAAAAATAAAAAAAATTAAACTTAACTTTAACGAAATTTACTTAATAGTATAAATATATATACATATATATATATATATATATATATATATATATATATATATATATATATATATATATATATATATATATATATATATATATATATATATATATATATATATATATATATATATATATACCCAGCAAGCTCACAACGTTGTATTAAAGTTTTATTTACGTTAGATTTTGTTAGTATAACGTTACCGGTTCGGCAAAATGGAATGGTTTTGTAACGAAAAATTCTTACGTTAGACTGACGTTAGATATTAACGTTATTTTAACGTAAAATTCAAAAATTAGATTAACGTTATAATAAAGTAAATAAATATTAGAAAAATATTAGCGTTTTAAGTTTACGTAAAATATTGATTGTAATTGAGTAATATTTAATGTTAATATAGCTATAGTTATATTCATATAACCATGAGCCGAGGCCCTTTAAACGCAGCTTCGTGTCATGGTTTTTATATGAAAATAACCGTATATATTATCATTAAAGGTTAAACACATTTACAATCAATATTCAAAGTTAATATAAGGGTTAATAACCCCATTCAAAGGGTTAGAAAAATAGTTTTAGGGATATTCAAACTAAAAATAAAATAAATGTTTTCAAAGAGTTTTTTTAAAGATGTGTAATATATTCTTTTGTATTATAAATTTACAAAAAAAATCAAAAATAAATTACTGTTCAATGGAGAGAACTTTAAAATGCTTCCAATTGGATCTTTTGTTTGCTTCCGTCGAACTATAGTGCAATAGCTGGATGACTTCTAAAATACAACATTGGATACTGTAAACTGGATAGCAGTTAAAATTTTATTTTATTTATAATTGATTAATTGTTTAACTTTCAACGCTAATATTCAAGACTCAAGACTTATATATATCTAAGAATAAAAAACATATGTAAGGAAGAATGAATAGATAGAACAATATTCAGCTATTATTAACGTACCAAAATTATTGCTTTACACAACTTTTTATCTTTGAATGAAACCTTCTTTCTATCACCACGAATTTTGTTTTTCATATTGAACTTAGGCTTAACATGATGTTCCATAATTCTAGAAAAATGTAATAAAAAGTAACTATTTTGTTATACTACATCAATCGATCCAGCGAACTTATTTAATTAATTGTAAACACACATTAGAGTAATAATTTACAAAGTATAATTTTGAAAAATTTTTACTTTTTAAAAAATGTTTTATATTCAAAGTTTCGACATTGAATTAAGCTGAAACCTGTAGGGGAGAACCTAATTGTCTAGTTTACACATTGAAAACTGAAGCCAGGAGAAATGTGCTATTAATTCCCATTAATGTAATAATTATAATGTTATGTTTGGCCCATCATGTTTAGGCCATGTTAGAAAAAATGATTTGGTCTGTTGAATTGTTGTGTTTAACGTTTCTTACAACAGGAGTTTTTTACAAATTAACCTTAGATGCCTGTGAACAAATTTGATTTTGTCCCATTCCATCAGCGTTCCATTCATTATAGTTCTCCCCAAATATTAATATTTAAAATGTTTGTTTTTCTAAATTACTTTCCTTGGGCTATATTTTTTCATTAAATTTAATTACAATTTAAACAGTTTGATTATCCAGAGTTAAACAAAATTACATACCCAACCATAACATTTTTTGTATTTTCTTTAACATTTTTTTTACCTGCTTTGTTGAGGTGACAAAGCTAAAACGTAAATAAAAGTCTAGTGAAAAGTTCATGTTCGAATAAGACAGGATTCATTTGGTTGTTTTCACAGTTGTTCTATAAAAGCAACAAAATAATTGTTCAACCAAATATAAGACAAAGATATTTTAAAAAAATACAAGACTGTGAAAAAATTCTTAAGAATGTATATGGCTATCAGGTCACTAAAATACTTCTCGATTTATGTATTTTATAAATTTATCTTTTACGCGATTTTCTGGTAAAATGTAAGAGCAATTTAAATAGGTTCATCAAGAAAATGATTAAATTAAATAGGATTCTATCAAACAGACAAACTTTAAAAATAGAAATTGTAAAGATATATTACCAATTATTGGTATTCCCGTGTCTTTTAATCTGGTTTCAAGTTCATAAAATTCTTCAATAGACCCAATCTTTTGAAAATGGTTACGCTTACACTTTCTGACGTTTTATTGGCACATTCGCAACAATTTTTCTCAAGATTTAATTGAAGTTATATGAATATTACTTTAAACCATTTCCCAATAATAACTCATACTCATGCAAAAAAATCATATAAAAATTATCATGATTATTTGGTTTCTTATCACCAACAAATAATTATACAATAAATGGTGTCTCTTTGTCAAACATACATAGTATAAGTCAGTGTGTTTGATGACTTGAATAAAGGAAGGCCATCTACATTGCAACTTGCAACATTGTATTTGACTTAAATCTATAATGCTAGTTGACTGCTAACGTTCTTGATATGCTGTATGAAATACCAAGATAACGTATTCACCTCCACATTTCAACTCACTTGGAACATTAGTAGGAGTTTTTAAAATTGTTCTTGTGCATTCTGGTAAATCAACATGATGACCATACTTGTGTAACAAAAATAACAGTTCATCACTTGCATTTCTAGTTATTCTGTGTTTTAAAATCCATTTAGCAATCTCTGTAACAAGTACTCCATCTTTATGATCTTTATTATCATCATTCATAGGAATCTCGGAGTCTAGATCAGAACTCAGAGTCTAGAACAGTTTTAGAAGTAACTATGATCAGGCACAAAATAAAAGTCACTATAGTTCTTAATTTTATTTTTTTTAAAGCAATGCAACTGCCGACTTCATTAATTTTGGATTTTTTATCCGATGATTACTTTGGTGCCATTCCCTTAAGTATTGATTTTTCTCTTGTTTTAGTTATAGTAGTTTTAACAATAAAAAGATAATAATGAAAACTGAACACAATAAAAATTAATAATAATAGGAAAACCTAAATTTATATTTATAAAAAAACAGGTTAAAATTTTTTTAGAAAAGCTATTATTCTTATATTTCCTAAACTTTGAAGAGTTAATATTGTTATTTTTTCATCAAACTACAATTGATCAAAGTAAGTTATTTACTTGCTAACTCATTAATCTCATATAGTTAAATGTTTGTATATAATTGTCATAATTAAAATCATACAGTTGAATGTATCATAATTAAAATCCTAAAGATAAAAATCTTATTAAAAAATAATAATTAATAGTCATAATTGAGCCAGGAAACAAGCTGAAAACATTTTTAGGAAAGTCAGTAAGAGCATTTGCTAGCCTTTATTAGCTATGACTATTTAGGCTAAAATAAAAACTAGCTTAAAATATATTCTGAAAATAAAAATTAGGTATTACAGGTTTTTCAACAACGAATTATTAACGTTAAACTTTAGTTTGCAAAATAATGCCATTTGTATTTTTCTTTTTTTAGTTCATTTGTTTAACGTTAAAGTATTAAGTTAAATACATTACGTTATTTAAAGCATAACTAAATAAATATACAAACTAACACTGAGAATGTAAATATACAAGATTACAGGTATAGTATATGTTAAAAATATACCAAAAGAAACTAAGCAATAATAAATATAACTGCTAATCAATTGCTTGCATTCTCTATACATATTGTTTGACATTTATTTACCAATGGAGAGGTCTTTTTATTATTTGCATTATAATCATTTATTTGAGCGTTTGTTAAAGACTCTCTATGTTTTCTATAAATTAAAATTTACATTTTGTTTTACTTACTTTATAATCTGATTTTTTTTTAAACACTCAATGCATAGCAGATGCTTGTTGAAGATATTTAAAAAATTAACCTTCTGGTTTCAAACTAATAATATACTTACGTTGTTAGTTAAAATATAAGCATAGTGAACAGTTTATTGAAATTCATTTTCGCAGTTAATTTGATTGAAAATATTATACTATATTGCTCAGAGTGAGTAATTATCAAATTCAAATGGTTGCTATAGCAGTTTTAATTGCATGAGCATGAGGCTCTAAGCGACCTAATATTTGTTTGTAATTCCCTTGCATTTAAAGTAAAATATACGACATAATACTCCTTCTAAAAATCTAAACTTAACAATAAAATTTGATTCCGTTAAAGCAATATAAAATAGTTGCACAACCCTTTAAAGCTTAAAATGAGATTAAAATAAGAAAAATTATAATGAAAATTTTAAATACCCTAATACAAATGTTGCACTCCATCACTAATAATAAGATGAAATTATTTTTCTGTGTAATTATCTCAGCATTAATTTTCATATTTGTATTATAAAAATGCAAAAAGTTAAATTTTAAACACATTTCAATAGTATCGAGATTAGTATTTATGGTTATTCTGAAAAGAACTGTATGTAAATACTGCTTTAAAATATTTTTTCAAAAACGCAACACTTACTGTTAAACATTTATTCAATAAACAGGGTAATATTTAGAGGCTAACCAATAATATGTTTATTTTTCTAAAATAAACCTTTTTAATCTAACATTTATCAAATCTTTTAATTATCAAATTAAAGTTTTAAATAAGTGTGAGCTGTTTATTTTCAAATATTTTTTGAAAATTCCTCAAATGACTTTTAAAAGACAATGCAAACCTTGAAACTTAGCTAATTATCTTTTAGCTAAACTTATTTTCTATATTCTCATACGCCATCTTCAAGAAAAAAATAATTAATTACGGTAGATTTTTTTATAGTTAGCAGAACTACGTTAATATTTTTTTATTTTTTTACGTTCTTCGTATGTTAGCTTAACGTAAGAATGTTATGTTAATACTTTTATGCTTTGTTAACGTTGTGTCAACGTTAGCTCAACGTAAGAGTATTACGTTAAAAAGATTACGTTAACTCAACGTTGAATTAGCATTAAGTAACGTAAAAAGCAATTTTAACATAAATACGTCGTTTGCACAACGCTATGTGCTCGCTGGTATATACATACACCCAGTAGGTACACAACATTGTACTAACGTTGTATTTACGTTAAAATTGCGTTTTACGTTACTTAACCTTTATTTAACGTTAAGTCAACGAAATCTTTTTAACAAATTAGTCTTACGATAAGTTAAAAAAACATGGAAGTATAACATTCTTACGTTGAGCTAACGAACGGACAGCGTTAAAAAATAAAGATATAAAACGTAAATTCTAACGATAAAAAGTATCTACCGTAATTAATTATTATGGTTTTTTCTTAAAGATGACGTATGAAAAGATAGGAAATAAATTTAGTTAAAAGATATTTATCTAAGTCTGAAGTTTGAAGGAAGCACTGGCTTTTAAAAGACATTTGAGGAATTTTCAAAAAGTATTTGAAAATAAACACCACATAATTATTTAAATTTTTTGAATTGCTAATAAAAGATTTAATAAACCATAGATTAAAAAGTTTTATTTTAGAAAAGTAAATATAATATTGGTTATCCTCTAAATTTTACTCTGCTTATTGAACAAATGTTTAACAGTAAGTGTTATATTTCTAAATAAATACTTTATAGCAGTTTTACATGCAGTTCTTTTCAGATTAACCATAAATACTAGTTTCGATACCATTTAAAATTTAAATTCAAATTTAAAAAATTAAAATTTGAACATATTTAAACTTTAAATGTGTTCAGATTTTAAATTTTTTGAATTTTGATAATAAAAATATGATAAGTAATGCTGATATAATTATGCAGAAAAAAGTTGTCATATTTTTATCAGTGATTAAGTGAAACATTTGTATTAGGGTAATCATTTTTGTAATTTTTTTTAATTTAATCTCATTTTAATCTTCAAAGGGTTGTGTTACTAATACATATTACTATAACTGAATCAAAATTTTTTGCTAAATTTAGGTTTTTTATTTATAAAAAGGAGTATTATGTCTAATATTTTATTTTAGATGCAAGAAAATTACAAACAAGTATCAAGTCGGTTAAAGCTTAAAGCTCATGGAATTAAAGCTGCTATGGCAACCTTTGATCTAAATGTTACTCACTCTGAGAAATATAGTATAATATTTTTAAAACAAAAAAAATGTGGAAAATAAATTTCAATAAAATGCTCACTTTGCTTATATTTTGACAAACAACATAAGTAAATAATTAATTTGAAACCGCAAGAATAATGGATCATATATCGTAACCAAGCATCTGCTATGCATTAAGTGTTAAAAGCAAATCAAAATATAAAGTAAATAAAATAAAATGTATTTTAAAATTTTTGCTCATGAAAAGCATAGAGAGTCTTCAACAAACGCTCAAATAAATAATCATATTACAAGTATTGAAAAGTATCCATTGGTAAATAAATGCCAAACAATATGTATAGAGAATGCAAGCAAAATATGAAGCATTTATATTTATTAATGTTTAGTTTCTTCTTGTATATTTATAGTATATACTACACCTGTAATCTTCTTGTTTACAAGAAGATTACAGGTGTATATCTTCATTTTTAGTGTTTATTTGTATATTCATTTAGTTATATTTTAGTTAACATAACTTAACTTAGTAATTTAACATTAAACTAATGAACTGAAAAAAAAAACAATTGACATTATTTTGTGCTTTTACTCTCTTTTTAAACTTGCTTTTAGTTAAATTTCTGGCACCATTATGACTATTAATTATTTTATGTTGATTTCAGAATAATAACAATATATAAAAAATAAAAATGAACAAACAAGAGAAAAATCAATCCTTGAGGGAATGGTGCTATAGTAATCGAGCCTTAAACAATGCACTTGTAAATAAAGAAATCGACAGCTCATTCAAATCCAAACATGTCAAATCCAATATTAATGGAATCGAGAGTTGCAGTGGTTTCAAAAACATTGAAATTAAGAACTATGGTGACTTTTATTTTGTGTCTGATCATAAAGACACTTCTGAAACTGAGAGTTCTGATCAAAACTCTGAGGGTCCTTTGAGTGATGATAATGAAGATCTTAATAATGGAGTACTTGTTGCTCATATTATCAAATAGTTTTTTAAACACAGAATAATTAGAAATAAATGTGACGAATCACCAGAATGGTTATCATGTTGATTTATCAAAATGCACAAGGACAATTTTAAATATTCCTAGGAATGTTCCAAGCGAGTTAAAATGTGAAGGTGAATATGTTTATCTTGGTATTTCAAATGGCATACCAAGAACTTTAGCAGTCAACCAGCATTATAGTTTTGAGTCAAATACAATTTCTCTAGTTGTCAATGTAGATGGCATTCCCTTATTCTATATATGTTTGACAAAGTGACACAATTTATTGTATCATTATTTACTGGTAATAACAAGCCAAATAATTGCAATGATTTTTATTTAATTTCTTGCATGAGTTGTTATTGGCAAATGGTTTTCATTATTATTCATATAACTTTAATTACTTCTTGAGAAAATGTGTTGCAAATGCGCCGATAAAAGTCAAAAAGTGTAAGCATAACCGTTTTCAAAATGATTAAGTACCTTAAAGAATTTTATGAACTTGAAACCAGATTAAAAGTCAACGGGGAGTAAAGTAAATTGGTAATTTATATTTATTGTTTAAATTTTTAAAGTTTGTTTGTTTAATAGAATGTTATTTAAACTCATTGTTTTCTTGATAAGCCTATTTAAATTGCCCTCACATTTTACCAGAATATGGTGTAAAAGGTAAATTCCTACTTATAAATTGAGAGTTTACTTAGTAACCTGATAGCCATTTACAATATGTAGAGTTTTTCACAGTCTTGTATTTTTTGTTAAATAATTTTGTCTTATATTTAGTTGAGCACTCATTATTTTGCTGTTTTTATAGAACAAGTGTAAAAAACAACCAAATAAATCTAATCCTGTCTTATTCCAACATGAACCTTTGGTTAGACTTTTTCTTTTTGTTTTAGCTTTGTTACTTTAGAAAAACAGGTGGAAAAAATGTTACAGAAAATACAAAAAATGTTATGGTCAGGTATTTTTGTTTAACTCTGGATAATCAAACTGTTTAAATTGTAATTAAAGGTTACATGAAAATCTAGCTCAAAGAAAGTAATTTAGAAAAACAAACATTTTTAATATTAATGTTTAGAGAAAACCTTAATTAACGGAACGCTTATTGAATTGATTAAAATAAAATCTGCATACAAGCATCTATGGGTAATTGGATACCCAAAGTTTTTTAGTAAGAAATGTTAAACACAACAGTTCAACAGACAAAATTCATTATTCCTGTCATGGTCTAAATACAATGGGCCAAACATAACAGAAACGTTGCTTTAATTGGAACCAATAGCACATTTTTCCTAACGGAACAATTTGTTTGTTTTGGTGCTAGAAGTACGTCAAAGTGTGAGAGTATGTGGTTATCAAATAATTTTCAATGTTTAAATTAAACAAATTTATCAACTTTTAAAAAGTATTTTACGAAAATTGCCCAATTTATTTAGGCTCTTCCCTACAGGTTTTAGTTTTAGTTCGATGTTGAAACTTTGAATGTAAAACATTAATAAAAAAATAAAGAACCTTTCGAAATTATGCTTTGCGAATTATTACTCGAATGTCTATTTACAATTAATTAAATGAGCTCGCTGGATCGCTTGATGTAGTATAACAAAGTATTTATTTTCCATTGATTGTTACGTTTTTGTAGAAATATGGAGCATCATGCTATGGTCAAGTTGAATATGAAAGTCAAAATCTGTGGTGATATAAAAAAAGTATCATTCGAAGATAACATGTTGCGTAAAGCAATAATTTGGTACGTTAATGTTAGCTCAATATTGTTTTTTTCTACTCTTTCTTCTTCACATATGTTTTGGATTCTTAGATATATATTAGTCTTGAACCTTAAACGTTAGCGTTAAAAATCAAACAAATTATCAGTTGTAAATAAAATGAATTTTTGAATGTCATCCCATTTATTGTATCCCATATTGTATTTTAGAAGTCATCAAGTTAATGCACAAGTCTTCGACGGAAGTACAAATAAATGACCAAATAAGAAACATTCCATTTGTTAATGGTAGCAAAAAAAATTATAGAGGAAGCAAGTGATTGTTAAACAGTAAATTATTTTTGA